TACTGATTACTGCCAAAGCAGTTAATACTTTTTTAAACATTTAACCCTTAATTTCCCTCATCCAAATTGCAAAACAAGAAAACCTCTTCTTTTTGTAACTTTGTATCGTCCACCAGGTACTTACTCTGAATTTGTAGATGAGTTTTCAGATTCCATACCTGATTTGGTTTTGAATACTGACAGGGTCATCATAGTGGGGGGATTTTAATATCCATGCTGATATTGAAGGCGGTAGCTTAAGAGCAGCCTTTAATGCTATCCTAGACACTATTGGCTTTATTCAAAGTGTGAATAGTCCCACACATTCTCATCTTCATACTTTGGATCTTGTGCTGACATACGGCATAGAATGTGAAGAAATAACAGTATATCCTCACAACCCTGTCCTCTCTGACCACTTTCTAATAACTTTCAGGATTACTGTAACAGAGTTTTCCTCCCCCAAAAGAAGGGTAAATTTTAGCAAATCATTATCAGATAGTGCAGTTATAAATTTAAAAGAATCTGCTTCACTTTCTCTCTCCTCTGTGTCGCTGAGCAGTGCTGCAGAGTGCAAAAGCTTAGTTTATTCCCCTTACAGGTTAATGAGTTTGTTGATGGGGCTGCTAGTTCTCTGTGTACTGCCTTAGACAACGCAGCTCCTTTGAAAATGAAAACTGTTAAAAATAGAAAGCTGGCTCCTTGGTTTAACGCAGAGCTGCGCACTTTAAAGCAAAATGCTAGGAAACTGGAGAGAAAATACCACAGGCCTATGGGAATCCTACCTAGTCTGGAAAGATAGTTTGCTGCTGTATAAGAGGACCCTTTGTAAAGCAAGAGCAGCGTATTTCTCCTCATTAATAGAGGGGAATAAGAATAATCCTAGATATCTTTTTAATACCATTGCCAAACTCACCCAGAGCCATAGCTTAGTTGAGCCGTCCATTCCACCTGCTCTTAGCAGAAATGACTTTATAGAATTCTTTATAAATAACATTGATCTTATTCCGCCTCCCTGGGCTGTCACCTTATCATGGTGGAGGGGTTTGAGTGTCCCAATGATCTTAGGAGCTATGCTGTCTGGGGGCTATATGCCCCCTAGTAGGGTCACCAAAGGCAGACAGGTCCTAGGTGAGAGACCAGACAAAGAGCAACCCAAAGACCCCTCATGATGAGTACTACAAATGGACCTAGTGTTTCCTCGCCCAGACGCGGGTCACCGGGGCCCCAATCTGGAGCCAGGCCTGGAGGTGGGGCACACTGCCTAGCACCTGGTGGCCGGGTTTTTACCCATGGAGCCCAGCCAGGCACAGCCCGAAGAGGAAACTTGGGTCCCCTTCCAATTGGCTCACCACCTGTAGGAGGGGTCAAAGGGGTCAGGTGCAGTTTGTGATGGGTGGCAGTCGAGGGCGGGCACCCTGGCGTTCTTACCCTCAGCTGAAGAAGCTGGCTCTTGGGACATGGAATGTCACTTCTCTTGTGGGAAAGAAGCCTGAATTAGTGCACGAGGTTGAAAGGTTCCAACTAGAGATAGTGGGACTTACCTCGACGCATGGCTCTGGCTCTGGAACAAGTCTCCTTGAGAGGGGCTGGACATTCTTCCAATCTGGAGTTGCTCCTGGTGAGAGGCACCGAGCAGGAGTGGGCAATCTCGTTGCCCCTCATCTTGGTGCTTGTACGTTGGGGTTTACCCCGGTGAACGAGAGGGTAGCCTCCCTCCGCCTACGGGTGGGGGGACGGGTTCTGACTGTTGTTTGTGCTTATGCACCAAACAGCAGTTCAGATTAACCACCCGTTTTTGGAGACTTTAGAGGGGGTACTGGAGAGTGCCCCTCCTGGGGAATCCCTTGTTCTTCTGGGGACTTCAACGCTTATGTGGGAAATGACAGTGAGACCTGGCGAGACGTGGTTGGAAGGAATGGCCCACCTGACCTGAAGTTGAGCGGTGTTCTGTTGTTGGACTTCTGTGCTCGTCATGGATTGTCCATCAGGAACACCATGTTCAAGCATGAGGGTGTCCATATGTGCTCTTGGCACCAGGACAGCCTAGGCCGTAGTTCAATGATCGACTTTGTTGTTGTTTCATCTGATCTGCGGCCGCATGTGTTGGACACTCGGGTGAAGAGGGGGCAGAGCTCTCCACTGACCACTACCTGGTGGTGAGTTGGCTCCAATGGTGGGGGAGGATGTGTGTCAGACCTGGTAAGCCCAAACGTATTGTGAGGGTTTGCTGGGAACGTCTGGCTGCGTCCCCCGTGAGAAGGAGCTTTAACTCCCATCTCCGGCGGAGCTTTGAACATGTTCAAGGGGGAGGTGGGGGACATTGAATCTGAGTGGACCATGTTCCACGCCTCTATTGTTGAGGCAGCTAGTCGGAGCTGTGGCTGCATGGTTGTCTGTGCATGTCGGGGTGGTGAGCCTCGAATGCGCTGGTGGACACCAGCGGTAAGGGAAGCTGTCAAGTTGAAGAAGGAGTCCTATCAGGTTTATTGACCTGTGGGACTCCAGAAGCAGCTGATATGTACAGGCAATCAAAGCAGCAGGTGGCTCAGCTGGTTGCTGATGCAAAAACTGGAGCGTGGGAAGAGCTCAGAGAGGCCATGGAGAAAGACTTCCATATGGCTTCGAAGCGATTCTGGTCCACAATTCGGCATCTCAGGAGGGGGAAGCCGTGCAGTACTAACACTATCTATAGTGGGGGTGGTGTGCTGCTAAACTCGACTCGGGACGTCGCATATCGGTGGGCGGAGGACTTCGAAGACCTCCTTAATCCCACCAACACGTCTTCCATTGAGGAAGCAGAGCCTGGGGGCTCCGGCTTGGGTCCTCCCATCTCTGTTGCTGAAGTCACTGAAGTGGTTAAAAAGCTTCTTGTGGCAAGGCTTCAGGGGTGGATGAGATTTGCCCTGAGTACCTTAGGGCTCTGAATTTTGTGAGGCTGTGTTGGTTAATGCGGCTCTGCAACATTGCGTGGACATCAGGGGCAGTTCCCTTGGACTACCAGACTGGGGTGGTGGTACCTCTATTTGAAAAAAGGGACCGAAGGGTGTATTACAACTACAGAGGAATCACACTCTTAAGCCTCCCTGGTAAGGTCTATTCCGGGGTTCTGGAAAGGAGGGTCCATCGGATAGCTGAATCTCGGATCCAGGAGAAGCAGTGTGGTATTTGTCCTGGCCGTGGAACAGTGGACCAGCTCTACACCCTCAGCAGGATTCTGGAGGGTGCATGGGGGTTTGCTCAACCAGTGTACATGCGTTTTGTGGATCTGGAGAAGGCATTCGACCGTGTCCCTTGGGGGGTCTTGTGGGGGGTACTCCCACAGGAATATGGAGTACCAGGCCCTTTAATAGGGGCTGTTAGGTCTCTGCATGACCAGTGTCAGAGCCTGGTCCGCATTGCCGGCATGTAAGCCAGAGTCGTTTCTGGTGAGGGTTGGACTCTGCCAAGTTTGCCCTTTGTCACCAATTCTGTTCATGGTAAGTGGAGCTTGGTGTGCATCAAAGGACTGATACCAGGGGATTGCCTCATATCCCAGGCAATTTAAAGGTATTGTGGAGGATTTTCACTAATACTTGAAAATATCCTCCCTCTCCACTCTCTCTTACTTCTTCTGTACCAGCTGCTACACAGCAGGAAAAGGTTCCACCTCCAACTGTGTATCTAGTGAGTCACCATACAGGCGCCAGATAGGCATCAGTTTCAACGTCTCTACATATACTTACTCATTTTCTTTAGAGTATCTATTGTGTGTTTTAGGTTTAAGGATTCACTGACAGACAGAATATATGTTGTCACTACATATGTGTTTTCAGAAGGTAGTTTGATTCTGATCTCTACAAATTAAAGGTAGAAAACTGTTCAGCTGAAAACAAAGCGAAAGCAAATTGAAAACAGCACAAACATCAGGCATCCGACCTTGCAGGTTTAAGCTCCACCTCTCCCTACAACATGTCAGGAAGTGTAGAACCAGTTTCTCATTCCGATCATTCAGACCAAACTAGCAGCTTCCTCTGAGTGAGTCCAGCTGCATGAGAGAAAAGTGGAAACCTCCAACACTGCTGCTTCAAGCTGCTCACACTCCACACACTGAAGGTGAGTTGGACCAAGAACACCACTCAGAGTCACTTTGAGG